CGATGCTCAACCACTGAGCCACACCAACCGGGCTCTGTGTATTTTTTAATATAACCTTTCATATTATGTGAATGCTCTGATCGGGTAGAGTTCTTCATCAGGTGTTCATTGTTGGCTGTCTATCCGCTAAGTAGTGTCTTAGAATATGGCCAAGCTGGTGCCTTAGAGAGAGGACCTAAGAAAAAGGGAGGTGGGTAAGGTGTATGTGCATCTTTTGTTGCCCAGATCTGCTCCTCCTCCTCTGTGTGCCTCTGTGCCCAAACGAATGGTATTTGCCACTCTGCTCTTTGGGAGAGGGAAGAGAGATACTTGGATTTTCAGTATGAGAAGGAAGTAAGTCATGCTCAGGGGACTGGTTTTGGGGTAACAAATCCCTATCACCATGGTTGAAGCTCCGAAGAATCAGTGATGGCACTGCAGGTGTGAATATGGACTTTGAAGGCAGATCCCGACAGCTCTGAATCCTGGAGCTGCCGCCACAAGGTTTGCTCTGTTTCTCAGTTTTCTCATTTGTCAAATGGGGAACCTCATAGCACCAACTTCCTCAGGTTCTTGTGAAGTTTAAAAGTGGCCATAAAAGTAATAGGCCTTAGACTAGACAATAAATGATAGTAGCTATTTAGGAACAATTTCTTCAATGCCTGGACATTTTCATTTTACCATTAACTGAAATTTAAGCTTTAAAAAGAAAAGATTTCTCAGTTCTTTCTTCCATTTTTGGACCATCATGTTCATGCTCATCTCCCTTGCCCAAATAAATCTGCTAAAAAAAAAAAATCAGTTCTCTATCTCTTTTCATCTCATGAATCTGTATCTTATTATGTGGATCTCTTACTGAGCTGTAACTCCACTTCCGTGCTGTTTTTTATTCTTTGTCAATTCTGACCTGATCTCTAAGAAGTAGAATGCAAATATTTCTGTCTTTCTGTCCAAGTTGAATTTCATATATTCTGAGTCATGAAGCTGCCCTCCATGTGACTTAGAAAGCCCTTTGATGATCCATATTTAGCTGTATCCATCAGTCAACAGATGTCTGGGTAGTTAAAGGCCCCTATGAGCTCCCTCTACATCCTGTGGTTTCAAGTTCCTGAGTTGTTAGTTAAAAAGCTTTCATCCCTACTCCCTCACCCCCCTTCCCTTATCTATTCCAGGGTAGAAGGACAGATACTATATTCACTATAGCTATTAATTCATTTAACAAATATTTACTCATTACCTACAACACGTTGGATGCTGGGTAAGATGTTATCCTCTTTGCTTCTAAATTGCATTTTCCCGATTGGAGCCATTTAGAGTAGTCCTCCATGTCTTATTACTTCTCTAGAATTTGCACTGAGCATTCAAGTAAATGGGCTCTTCTATTTGCAGTGTTTCCTGACCCCTGGGAGACTTGGAGGCTTAATTGCAAGCTCTGATGCCATGCTGTAATGTACTTGCCATTGCATCCACACATTTCAGGATGACATAGGTATATTGTGGGCTCTATCTTAGTTAGCAGGTGAGGCTGCAGGGCTCTGCTTGCCATCCTGAACCATGGACATGAAGAGTGAAGTGGTAGCAAGGATGGCCTGCCCAGCAAGTTAAGCAGCTAATTTCTAATAACCTTTGGTTTTCTATGTCCCTGGTTTCCCACAGAGATGCCCATGAGAAAAAATTCCTCTCTGTTTTTGAGCTTTCTGGATCTTCCCATTAGATTGCATCTCTTGGCATCTGAAAGGCAGCCTGCCATTCTGTTCTCCTGTGGAACACAGATGGCCCAGCCCACGCCTATCACTAATGAGTATCACATGCAAAGCCTTCTTGCTGGAGACTCCCTTCTACAACCCTAGCCCTCCTTCCCCAAGCAGGCCAGTCACTGCTGACCATGGCATTTTAGTCTGAGAAGGGTGCTTGGGGCTCTCTCAATCACAGAGTTAAATAGAAAATTTATTATGTAGGCCTTGGGAAATGAGTCCCATTCAGCTAGCATTTGAAACATTGATGATTAAAGGATGACTGCCAATTTGATTGCAAGGGTGAGGTATTGGATTCCAGCTGTCCATGGAGGTTGTTGAGTTTAAATGTGGGCAAGCACTGGAAGTTCTTAAATAGGAACATGATTAGATGGATATACAGAGATTGACCAGATAGGAGATCAATTTGTCAATGCCATGTAATCTTACCCAGGATTATAGTAGGGTGGGAAATAGTTATATAAGAATGTTAAAGGCAACCAGTGGACATGGACAATAAAGCCGGGGTCGGGGTGGGAAGGATGGGGAGGGGGTGCCAATGGGGTAAAAAAGAAGAAACATATGTAACAACAACAACAAAAAAATTAAAAAAAAAAAAGAATGTTAAAGGCACTAAAATATAGTAGAAAAAAATACATTTTGATGTGAGATAGATCCATGTCAAGTCTCAGCTCTATCACTTGCTATCTGTCTGACCTTGGATAAAGTACTTTACCTTTCTATTTACTAATTTTTTGTCTGTGAAATAAGTACAATGCCAATATCATAGGCTACTCTAAGGATTAAGTGAGACATTACACAAAAAGACCTTGACACACTGCCTTGCACCCAGTAAGCACTAAACAGGAATTCCCTTTGCTGTCTCTCTTTCCTGTGTTTTCTCTGTAGTTGAAAGTTAAACGATGCACTCCAATATGGTGGACTTGCAGGTAAGCTAAAAATAATGGCTCCATGTGAAAATCTGATCTTTTTTTTCCTCTAAAATTTGATTGATATTTGAGATGTAGGATTGTTTCTTTTTCATTGTTATTGCTAGTCAGATGCAGGTCTGGTATTTGTGACTAGGAGAAGAATTCCAAACTGCTAAAATGGACCCCAGTAGAAATGCAAAATTTCTTTTGGTCTTAATACTTTATCTCATTCCTTAAATTCTCACAGCTACCAAAGAGAGATCACTACCACTGGCTGCTCTTGAGTACCAATGTGTCCGATTAGTCCTCCCATATATCAGTACCCACTGATCCAGAAATCTCTTTGGGAGTCATTTTTTATTCTTTCAGAAAACAACAGACATGGAGGTATGCTGTTCAAAAGGAAGTAACAGACCTATTGATTTAACATTAATGCCTACAAAAACACTTCAACAGCTTTTTGAACAAGGTAGAACAATCACTGCTTGTTTCCCACCCAACTGGGTCAAAGCTTTCCCTATTAGAGCTGGTAGCTGTTCATTCCCCCACAAGGTAGCACTTTCCTTATGAGGTCAGCTCTAAGAGCAGTCATTAATTGAATAAAAATAGACCTCTTTACAACTGTGCTCCTTAAGCCTAGTTCTGTTCTCTGGAGCTACACAGATGATGTCTGACCCCTGGCAGCTACCATGTTTTCTCTCTAATTTCCCCCTCTTCCCTTCCCCACTCAGAGGACAGAGTCCAGGTCCTTGGTTCTTGCTTGAAGACATGAAGAACAATGGGTACAATAAAAGTAGTTAAACAGTCACATAGAAAAAACAAGAAAGAGTGTCTTAAAGAATGGAGACTTTTCATCCTAGAAAAGTACTTTTTGGAATATTATTGCAGAGGATGGTTACTTGCATGTTCCCATCTTCCCCGAAAAGAGAAAGAAAAAAATAGTAGGCTCAAGGCGGTGTTTCTAATCTATAGATGTTGGCAGATAAATAAAGGTTTCTATGATTCTTTAGTGTGAGTTCTTAGAGTTAAGCCCCTCTATGCATCTCCTAGAAGGGGATCTAGTACTTGCCCATGGAACTCACTTTTCATGGAGCATTTTATGGATACTACTATGTTGTGAAATACAGTTTAGGTAATTATGGTTTCAGATATGCTGTTTGAAATAACTTCCTGATTGATTATTGCTGGATCCTGGAACTGGTGACCAAGAAACACTATGACGTTTCCTTGCTTGGAGGGTTGGTAGACTTCCTCCCTCCCTCCCCTCCTCTCCTCCTCTCTTCCTTTCACACTAGCATTAGGCACCCACCTGCCTGGGAGTGTAGAGGGAGGGGTAGGCCTGTGACATAGGGAATCTGGGAGTCTAGATCCTTCTTATCCCCATGATTCTATTTTTATGGATCCCAATTGTGGTAGTGTTCCATAGAAGGTACTAGCTGGGACAGGAGGTAACTAAGAGTTTTGGCCAGCAGGAAAGGGGGATGGAGATGGGAAAAGTTGATGCAATTATTTTTGGCAGGAGTTGGAACCAAAGCAGCAGGAGAGAGTAAGTTTTAAGACTCTCTGGCAAAGAAACTTCCTAATCTGTCACTGAGTATGTGTAAAAAAGTGATTAGTGAGTCTCTATATTTATCATGATTACTCACAAATATGTAATTTACATAATATATACAGCACATTAAGTACTATGTTACCTTATATAATGTGCATATGTATAATGTATATGCATATTATGTAACGCCAGTCTGGAGGCTCTTCCAGGTTCTGCCAAGTATTTCCTAATTTATTTGGCAATTTTAACATATCTTTTCCGTCTGTGGAAAGAACTCTCTTGAGAGGAGCTGGTCTCTGACCTGAAATATAATCATCCTACTAAGTCTATCTCAATTCTCAACTCACTGGAGGAAACCCACAAAGACCAAGCCATAATGAGGGACAACTCCTAGCCCATTAGTCCAGGATAACACAATGTGTCAAAGATTTCCTGTTTTATTATTTTTATTGCTAGTGGAGTAGCAGTGTGGGGGCAGGTGAGAACATGTCTGTGGCATGGCCAGAATCAGAATAAAATGAGGAATAAGGACTGAATTATCCCCTGACTGCCTATGTGATTTTGAGACGTTACTAAACCTCCGTAAACCTTGTTGTTGTTTTCATTATTAAGACTGGGGTGATCATAATACCTTCTCTGCCAGCCTCAGGTTGCTGTGAGGTCTACCCTGAAGAGGTGCTCTATAGTAAGAAACCACAGTCACAGTAGTTAAGGGATGAGTGGCAAGGTCAGAATAAACAACAACACTAGGCTTACTGAGGTTACCAAATTGGAAGTGCAATTCCACCCAAGTTTGTTATACTCTAAGGAAGACTTAGGACATGTCTCTCAAGCAACACTGTAAGTCCTATGCACTAGAATAGAGTGGGCAAAGGGCCAGTCTCTGACTTGTGAATCTGAGAATCAGTTTCATCTGTTCATAGTGCTATATCTCAACAGTCTCAATGTTGGGGGAGTCAGGGATGAGATACATGCAAAAACTTCTGTAAATGCCTTAGAACAAGTGACCCCAAATCTGAACCTGTTTGTGTTTCAGAATCAAGTGGCTTCCAAGGTAGTACCTGCTGTCATTCTTGTTGGTCCCATCACCATGGATCCCATCACTCAGGAGATTCTTCGGGTGGCCTGGTTTTCCCCTTGCCCAGTGCTCTGCACTGTTAGGTTGAACAGGATGGTCCTGGATGTCCCTCCTACATGGTCCTAGATGATTGCTTCCTTCAGAGTTAGAATCAATTTGTACACACAATTTTTAATTTTCCCTTCCTTGTGCAAAGCTCCTGATTCAGTGCCAGGAGATTAGAGGAAACTCAGTGGAGCAATGTCCAGTGGGCCCAGGTTTCCTCTTGAGAGATCTCAGAGAGGATGGAGGCTTAAGGGAACAAAAGTGCCGAGGCAAATGTTTCTTCTATTGAAAAAGCTCCATAGACACTTGCCATCAGAAAAGGAGGGTAATAACAGCACCAGCAGAATGAAACCCACTGAGTTCTGCCAAGATCCCTCTGGGTACCGGCTGGTAGTACCTTGCAGAAGGTACCTCAGTCCTCCTCTGACTCTCCACTGAGGTTATCCCTGCAGCCAGGGTTGTTTCCATACTGAAAGACCGTGATGACCATGAGGGGGAGATATGTGGAGAGTTCCATGATCTCTTCAGTGCCTTCGACCCCAGACCAACTTCTCACCAGTTCAGGCCAGAGAGAATATCTGGGAAGCAACATGAGGCTTCATTCTCTCATGTGGGCTTGTCCCATCCATGCATGTGCTGCACATTCATTCTTCCCTGGAAACCTGGATCCAAATGGAATCATTTCTCAGAGACCAGGAATGACCCTATTCCAAGATGTGTAGGTTATTTTCTCTACTGAGTATCTTCTTAAGTGGCACCTGTTCCCAAACCACATTAGCCACAATACCCTGGACAAGTCTCTTAACTTTTCTGACACTCAGTTTCCTTATCTGACAAATGGAAGAATAAGTTCTGCCCAGCCTGTATTTCATGGCTGTTTTGATGATCCAGGATAAGAATTCTCAGTCTCTCTATGATGAGAAGCTACTTTCATTTCCCTTAAATCTCACAGTCACCCCGGGGCATGTGTCTTAACAAGGAAATGGTAGAATGGGGGAGTAAAAACCTTCATCTTTCCCATTTTCTGTTTCTATACTACATATTTTTTTTTCAACCAGGAAAAGTCCATCAGTAAATAAATATAAATATTTATAAATATATATGCTACATATATGTACACACACAAGACCATCAGAAGGGCCTTGGTCATACTCTGGGAGTGCTAGGTGCAAAGAGGTCGGAGGGAACCGCCTGACAGTTTGTCTCCCGGTCTCCTTAGCAAACAGCCCTTCCCGCCCGACTTCTCTGCCTTCAGGAATAGACTGCCACCAGGGCTTGGAACTCAAACAGGAAACACACTTTGGCTTGAAAAAGAAAGAAGCTGGGGGTGTTTTTTTTTCTTCCCTTTTTACACAATATTATGACACCAATTTGAAAAATAAATCCCAGTTTCTCTGCTTTCCCTTCCCAGGTGTTCACAGAACTAAGAAAATAAATACCACATCTAAGGTGTGCTGCGCCGGCAGCTCTGGGGGCTCCTGGAGCCCTTTCTAAACAAACACAGCCGCCAGGAGAAGGCTTCGGGAAATGACAAGAGCCCACTGACAGTGCAGAGAACCACGAATGGAAACACAGCTTTCCACAGTCTTTCTGCCTCCTCAGCAGGTTCAGGGAGAAGCTGTCGCTCGAAGGATGACCAAGAAGCCAGCGTGCACTTGCTGAGCCCTGCCAAGGGCTATGCTCTGAACGTCGGATGCCGTTTTTCTCTTCACAGAGGGACCTTTGTGCGAGCTTTCTGGAATGGGAGCTCTTTCCCTTGGCCACATCCGATCTGACCATAGGCAGGAAACCTGCAGCCTGCTCCTTGGGAGTGTCCATGAGGAAACTTGCAGGGCTGGCGGGAAGAAAGGGGGAGTTCTCCTTCAAACTCAGAAAGTCTCACTCAAGGCCTTCTGGGAATGTGGAGGTTGCTGCCTGAGCCAGGTGGGCCCTAAGTCCATTCAAAATGTTCTGTTGTCATTGGCTCTGTTGGGGTGTGTCCATTGTTAAAATAAAGACTGTATGGCAGGGTGAGGGTATCCTCCTGAAGGGTGGCTTTGCTTCCACTGGTTAGAGAGGAGAGTGTGTGTGTATTAGTGTGTGTGTGTGTGCGCACGCGCGTGCGCTTGTGTGTGTGCGTGCGTGTGCGTGTGCGTGTGCGTGTGTGTGGGGTACAGTTTCTTGTTTTCTCTCTTGGTTTAACTGGCAACTGGCACATTGTTTAGTCTTTTGAACGGCTCTTCCTCCTCAGTGAAAAGAAGCTGCTCTTCTGGGGAGGTCCCATCATCATGGGTGCTTGGTTCTTGTGAATAATTTTAATCTAAAAGCAAAGAGGCAGAAATGAATTAGTGGCATGCAAATCCCAGTAGCCTATGGGAGAGTGAGTCTCAGAGAAAGGAAGGAAGGCCAGCTTCAGGTTGGAAGGAGCCCCATGCAGAAGGACGATTGTCCTTGAACAACTTCAGAACTGGCAACTGGACCCTGACTAGGCCTGGAGTTTGGCACTGATGGGAGTGCGGGGCGGAACAAACAGGTGTGAGCTTCCCACATGGTAATCAGCTCGCACCTGTCTTGTTCATAGACTTTCAGAATGTCATAGCCAGAGAAGACCTCAGGGACCCTCTCATTCAACCCCTCTGCTGGATAAAGGCCTAAGGCCACACAGAGTGGGACAGAACAGCCAGAGCCCACTTTTTCAGATTCCCGGCTTCCATTGCTCCTAGCTATTCCTGTGTAGGCAGTGCTGAGATGTCAACCAGCAACTCAAAGTTGACCTTCTGTCTAAACTCTGACTCAGGCAACATGATCTGGAGAGTTTCCAAGTGTGTCTCTTAGGTCTTTCCTCTTGTCTTCACCTGGAAGGTATTTTATTTTGTTTGGAACGTCAGGTTTTATGAGTATTTTCTCCTGTAAACTTTAAGTCAATTTGAAGTGAAAGACATTGGCGAAGTCTCCTTTTTGCCTTTCATCCCAACTTTATCCTCAGGGATGGCTTCAAAATGCTTAATCCCTATTTGCATGTGGCCTGGTGATACTAACATGTCAATAATCTGCATTATCAGCAGTCTATCAACAATGTTTATTAAATATGACACATTTAGAGTAGGAAGATGATGTGGGAACAAGAGGTACTTAGGACTCAAAGACCCAGGTTTGGGTCCCAGAATTCCCACCTCTTTGCTGTGGGCCTTTGGAAAAATCTTAGTCTTCAAAACCAGGTCTGGTCACCTACAGGTGGATATTTGAGGATATTTGTCCTGTTTTTCTCACAAAGTTGTTGCAAAGAACAAATGGTAGATTGTCAATGAATGCCCATTGTAAAGTATAAAATGAAAAGTAGTAGTTAAATAGTTGTCATCTTACTTTGGAGGAGAAGGAGAAAGATTATGTGAAAAACAACAGAATCCATGAGCCCATTCTCATGGTTTTTATCACATTATTGGAAATGACAGTGTGACCACAGAAAGCAATAGAAAAAGAATTGAAGATACCTATCAACATGTTTAAATGAATGTAGCATAAACCAAATGGTGTCAAAAAGAAGTTAGATAAGGAATGAGAAGAGTCTGAATGTAGTATTTGAGGAAGAATCTTAAGCTCTGAAGAGATGGGAAGGAAATATGTTGCTAAAAAGAGAAAGGGAAGGCAGTAAGTAGAGGGGCCACGTATGAACAGGTTAGTGGGGTGGGGCAAAGGATGAGAAATGAGGTCAGGGGATACAGATGGGGAAGTTGATGTAGGGCTTTAGGGGGTTTAATGTGAGGTAATGGAGAACCATGATAACTTTTTAAGCTGGAGAATAACATGATTTAAAAAAAAAAGAGTTTGAGGGGAAATTATTCAATTTGTTGTCAGGTTGAGCCGGAATGGGGGAGACTCTGGCCAAGCCAGGTTTAAATTTATAAGGACCCAGGATATGAAAAGGAAAGGGTCAGACCAAAAGATATTGTGGAGAATTCCTGAGTGATGAAAGCTGAAAACAATTCTTTTTTTTTAAAATACATTTAAAATTTTTTTCTTTATTTATTTTTAGAGAGAGAGGAAGGGGGAGAGAGAGATGAAAACATCAATGAAAGAGAACATCAATTGGCTGCCTCCTGCATGCCCCCCACTGGGGGTTTGGCCTACAACCTGGGCATGTGCCTTGACCAGGAATCAAACTGGTGACCTCTTGGTACGTGGGTCGATGCTCAAGCACTGAGCCACACTGTCGGGCTGTAAACAAGTCTTATGTTGGTTCCCACCAGCCTGCAGATCTAGAAGGAAAGTCTATTTTTCCGTTTTGTGGTAGTCACCAGAGGAGCAAACCAAGAACATATCAAGCACCATTTTGTGTTATGTGCCTTATTATGGGCATTATAGTTATCCCAGAATTTATGCAAGTGAGGCATAGACTGGGGATTTCTCTGTGGCATGTAATTTAGCACTCTCTGATGACAGCAATTTCTGTATGCTTCTCTTACTCCCTAAGCATACGAGTCCCCTGAGGGGAAGAACTTCATCTTATTCACCTTGATGTTCCATGAGCCAGTGCAGTACCTATTCAGAGGACATGCTGTGGAAGCACACCAAGAAGAGAGAACATCCTAGCAGTGGGATGGCTGTGTTTGGGGCAGAATGGCAGCTGGTCCACTGCCTACATTTCCCACTGATAGAGCCCCCCCCCTTTTATCCTCACCCGAGTATATATATATATATATATACGTGTGTGTGTGTGTGTGTGTATATTTTTTTTTTGCATTTATCTTCAGATAGAGCGGGAGGGAGAGAAGGAGGAAGAGAGAGAGAGAAACATCAATGTGAGAGAGACACAATGAGTGGTTGCCACCCGCATGACCCAACCAGGGCCGGGGACAAACTGCAACCGAGGTACGTGCCCTTAGCAGGAACCAAACCTGGGACTCTCTGGTCCCTAGGCCGATGCTCTAAGTGCTGAGCCAAACTGGCCAGGGCAGAGCCCATTTTTTCTAGATGGTAGAAGACCCTGGCTTCTCCTTTTCCCCCATCTCTAGCTGAGCTATTTATTTGCTTGTTAGCACCTGCAGGGCAAAGAAGAGGAAGTGAAACTCAAATCCCTCTCATTTGGGTTTTCAGCAGTTTTGAAGAAGGTCTTGATTGGGTAGAAGTTTGGAGATCCTGGGTAACATGAGAGATTTTGATGTAGTTTGTGGATTCTAATACTACAGATAACTGAGAGTTGACTGTATGCATACACACTAAAGGAAAGAAATATGAGATAATATCCTCTTTTGAAGTCAAAGAGATGTCAGTCTCTTATCCCCCTTATCCCCCAATAAGGAGGGTCCAGTAGAGTTAAATAAAGATTTCATTTTAGAAGATAGTTGGACATGGCTAAACCTGACTTTTTAACCCCCATCATGGAAAGAGAGTCTTCATATTTTTGTAGTTAGAACTCAAATTTTTGTGGTAATTGGGCACGTCAGGCAATTAACTAAAGTCTCTATGATTTGCTTAAACATCTTTCATAATATTTACAACATCTGACAAGCACAAGGGACAGCAGCCCCATGTTCCTAGTTAATTCTCTCCTCTGTTATAAAGAGAAATGATACAATACACTCTTGTGATAGCTAGGAATTCACAAAGCTACTGCAGCATATAATTCCCCCTTAAAAAAGTGAGTAAATTTTAAAATTTCACTAGTGCTGGGAGTTGACTTTGTTTGGGGGGCCATCTTCTGGAAATCAACACATTTTTATTACTTTAAGAGAAGCAATAAACTGAGGAACTTAGTCCTGAACGTTGCCCTCTCAGGACAAATAATTCGAATCATGCCCAGCAAAATGGCCAATAACCATGAGTGTGGACCCTTCCCCAATCATTTGGGAAGTATTCAAGTCTGCCCTAATTTCAGCTGGAGATAAATAGAAAGGCACAAACCTGAAAGGTCTCAACTGGTCTTTGTGATTTTTTAAAAAGTCAAGAAAATATTTCTGCTTAATGTGAGCCTTAAAGAGGAGAGAAGAGGTTTGCACACTGTTTCAGGTCTTAGCTATTTCTGGGTTCTGCAAGATCATAAGAATGTTTCCTACCATCAGAGGTTTTCTTTCTTTCTTTTTTTTATCCTCACCTGAAGACATTTTTTTGCATTTATCTTCAGGTAGAGCGGGAGAGAGAGGAGGAGAAAGACAGAGAGAGAGAGAGAGAGAGAGAAACATTGACGTGAGAGAGACACATCAATTGGCCACCACTCACATGACCCCAACCGGGGCCAGGGACAAACTGCAACCGAGGCACGTGCCCTTAGCGGGAACTGAACCTGGGATTCTCCGGTCTGCGGGCCGACGCTCCAACCGCTGAGCCAAACCGGCCAGGGCCCATCAGAAGGTTTCAAAGGTAGCTGGACAATCGTGTTTTGCTAGGGGTGGAGAAGTCTGGGGTCTATTGTTAAGTTGGGAAGTTCAACTAGATTATTGGTTCTTAAAGTGTGGTCCCTAGACAAGCGGCATCAGCATTTTCTGAGAACTTGTCAGAATTGCAAATTGTCAGGCATCCTGACCTACTAAATAAGAAAACCAGCAATCATACTCAAATTTGGGAATCACTGGACTAGATAAGTAGAATCTCTTTTAGTTAGATCCTACTATTATCTAACTCTGGGAGAAAATTCTTAGGTAATTTTAGGGTTTAAATGCTCTTAACTGTGATGGTAAAACATGAGAAATCATCTTACAGTGCTGCAAGCACAAGGCAAGTTTTTAAATTCTGTATGTTTTATATACATACATCTTTATGTGTAAATACATACATACTCATTTTTGAGAATTTAGAAATTATGGGAAAAATTTAAAAATCATCTAGAGATAATTGCTGTTAACTTTTTGCTATGTTCTTTTCCCCCGTTTGTTTCTGTTCTTATATGTTTTTAATAAAATTAAAATCAGCCGTTTTCATTTAACATTATTTTGCAAGCATTTCTGATGTCACTAAAAGTTAATTAAATATAATTTGGAAATTATTACATTTGATGAATCTCACATAGCTTATCTAAGCCTTTTCCTAAATGTTGAGCTTTTAGATAATTTCCTTTTTTTTTTTTTGCTATTATGAGTAATATAGACATTTTAATATACTGGCTCCTGTATTTTACCTAGATTAAATACCTAGAAGTATATGAACAATTTTAAGGGTCAAAGTAAATGAACTGTATCAATGAATATTAATATTTGCAAGGATCTTCTTGATACATGGCTCCAAATGCTTCGCAGAACAGCTGTACCAGTTTATACTCTGGCCTCGCTGGTTGAGTGTGCCTGTCTTGCCACACCCTTGACAATGACTATTATCTTTAAAAGAAAA